CACCGCAGTACTCTTCTTCCTCGCGAGCTCATGGAGCCGCTGGATGGCGAACAGCATGTCGAGCGTCGACCGGTGTGGGCGGAAACCGCTCTGTTCCTCCGGGAGGATGCCCTCTCGCTCGCAGTAGTGGCTCAGTCGTGTAGCGACGACCTTAAGCAGCACCTTGCCGGCGTGTGCGACGAGCGAGATGCCCCGGTAGTTGCCGCACTCCATCGTGTCCCCCTTCTTGAACAGCACTTTGATGGTGGCATCCTTCCACTGCTGTGGTACGTCCCCAGTCTGCCACACGTCCACGACAATGGCGTGGAACTCGCGGAGGAGACCTTGATCTCCGTCCAGGAAAAGCTTGATCAGCTCAGCCGGTAGGTCGTCCGGCCCGACGGCCTTTCTGTTGGCCATTTCCCGTACCGCTTCCTCAACCTCAAGTAGTAGAGACGGGATGTCGTCGAGTGGCACGCACGTGGGCCACCGCTTGACCTTGTCAGCCGCATGCAGGTCGATGGTCGGCGACTTGGTGTTGAGAAGCTATGTGATGCTCGGTATCAAGGAAAAAACGAGGAGTATATCGCGGCAAACCGCGTGCACAAACCCGTGTGCATCGTTTTTGTTGGAGATGGAGCTGTTGGTTTGGTTAGAATGGCTGGGCAGCAGTCTCGCGGCCCGTTGCAACGAACGAATTCCCTGTTAATAAAATTGGCCAATCAGAAAACTGCGGGCACCTTTTCTTAACATGCTCTAGCTACTGTCGGATTCCTGTGCCATTTCGTCTGCCGCCGCGATGATGTAACGATGAGCTGTTGTCGTTGGGGATTGAAACGATGGCTACCCATAAAACCACAACCACAAAAATAGTCTAATGGTGGAAGTATGGTAACCCGTCAACCCCACCAACGAGACGATCATCCGTTAACCTTAACATCATGATAATTATCTTGAACCAACTTTATTGAATGCCGCACTGTACCCATCCCGGCAGCTCTCTCTTTTGTCCCTCCGAGTGGAGATGAGAGACGTCGAATCTGTTTGTGGAGAACCGAACCGGAAATTTAATGCAGTCCTTTCTGCGCGGGTAAGCCAGCACCTCTCATCTGTTCGATCGATTCATGTGCGATTTGATCGGCGGAGCAACAGCAACGGCATAAAAATCCCAACTCTAGTGCCCACCCCAAACGGCTCGATCGATTCGACATGTCCCGCTGTTGACTGCCGTCGTGGCACAGTACTAAAAGTCGTTCATGGTTGTAGCCACCCGTGTCCACAACCCCCCACACCGCCTGCATGCCTTCGTGAGCAGAAGCCATCAGCACCCACCACCCGTCGTGTAGGCCGATAGGAATACCGCACCCCCAAAGACGGAGAAATACCGCTAGACCCGCCCGAATCACAACGAGTCCACAGCGAATGGGGCGATACACCTCTCGCTCCCACATTCAGAACATGATTGTAGAACGATCAGCACCCTACCATCGAGGGGCTGATCTATACTGGCTGCGCCTGGGGCGGACGAAGGGCGACAAGAACGTGGACTCGACTAACTGCTAAAGCTTCTCGCTCAACAAGGAAGTCCAACACTGATCGTGCACCACTGCAGTGAACAAAGCCTACCTTTCTTCTTCGCGATCACTCGATTGGGACGCCGAAAAAAGGTACAGCACAGACAGACCTCCTCAAGTGTGCACCTCCAGGTGTGGAGGAAACACGATGTGATGGAACGACAGCCTTAACGCACTTCTGAGAAATTTCGAATTTTGCTGTCATGATCTAAGCACGTACGACCTCTATGCATGCATCTCAATATCTCCATGCTGTAAGACAGTAGGCGACTGCTGTGCGGCCATGTACCCCCGTCTGTGCTGAGCGATTCTAGGTCACCTAGGCTCGTCAAACGTGGACGGGGTATATGATTTGGAGCGATATGGAAGACACTGTTGCTTCCAAAGCGGCGTGTTTTTTGAAGCCGACTTGTCTTAGTTTGCGCCGACCCCGCCCTGGCCGATGCCGAACTCAAACGACAGCTTTCGGGCCTCGAAGGCTTGGCGCATGTCGCCGTCCCTCTCCATCACCGTCGCGAACGCCTCCCAGGCTCGCCCGCTCGTGGGCCGCTGCAGTCGACGCTCGCACACCAGCGTCCTCGCTACCGTCGCCTGAGAAAAGGATGGTGGGGGTGGGGTCGGCGTAATTTGTGCATGGTTGCAGCAGGAGGGTATTTACGGGCTCAAGAGCCAGAGAGGGGACAGAGATAGGTAGAGCCAGATAGGTGCAGCCAGACACCGAGACACCAGAGAGAAAATAACAACGATGTGGAGTCACACCACACCTTCTCTGGGAGCCGCAAGGCCGCGTCTAGCAGGGTTAGGTGCACCACATCCTGCTGGGCCTTGCTGCCACCGATGGCGTCGAGGTGATACCGCAGGGGCAGCAGCAGCGATACCGCCTCGTCAAACTCGCCCTGCGCCACAAAAACGGTTGTATGGTGTGATCGAGGTAGGTAGTGTGGGCGATCTAGGTGAAGAGTGAGAGATCGGGTCAGGTTTTGCTGCGGGGCGTTAGTTCGAGCAAGCTGCGAGTCTTGGTTTGGCGTCAGTTATGAGATGATCCTTGTCGGGTGACACTTGTTGCGGTTCAGCAGTACCTCGGTAGCTGTGTACTGTAGTGACGAGCAAAATCAACCGCGACATATCGGGAAACCGCACTATTGAGGGTTGGGGATTATACAGCTTTTAGAATAGTCGCCAAATCCCGTGACAAGTGATTTTTACCGCGGTGTACCGGGACCCGCACTACTCGGGATCGCGGTCGGGACCCGGACTGTAGTGGCCATCGTCGCTCACCCCCCGGTACGCAGCCATCGCGCGGCACAACGGCAGGCCCACGTGCTCCGCCACCCACAAGTTGTCCGGGGGACCTTCCATGCCCCCCTCATCCGCGTCCCCCCCAACGCCACGGTTTCGGGTGACCGGGAACGCGTGGAGTTCAACTGCCGCCGCAGTTGGCGTTGCTGCTGTGGACGCTGGTGTTGGCTCCGAGTCTCCTGCTGGCGCTGGTGGTGGTCGTCGTCTTGCCGCCGCAGGGGCTTCTCCTCCGCTCTTGACGTACTCTCCCATGGACTCTAGTAGTTCCCGGGTTCTGGACTTCCAGTACTCCGCCTCGGCATCGTCTTCAACGCCGTTAGCCATGGCCGCGAACGCCATCAGGGCGTGGAGGTCGTGGAACGTAGAGAGGTGGCGCGCGTGCTGGTACTGGAGCCAAGCCTGCTGAACCGATGTGGTTCCGACACGGACAGCGCGCGTTGTGGCGGGGGTAGTCGGTAGTTTGACGCAAAAGCCTCCTTGGGGGGTTCGGTATCATGCAGTCAACGGCGGGGGGCAACAAAAGAGAAGATCTGACGATACTACGAGAACTCTCTACGCCAACCCTTCTCCTCGCGCGGCAATGCCATGGCCTTCTACGACTACCGTCCCTTCCCATCTATTCCCAGTTCCTCACGCCAGCCGTCGAAAGTCTGCCGTGCCAAACCCAATCCAGCCCTCCCGCAATACAAACCGGCTGGACGCACAGAAAGCGTTTCTTTACTTCTTCCCGTTGAGATCGACATGTTCTCACTCACCGAAAGAGGTTTGCGCGGCCCGACATCGGGATAAAACGAAACTAACACCCACAAAATACAAGACGCACACGAAACACGTATGCATACCTCCGCGACACCGCGCCATCTCGAAGCCCCGGTCTCCACTCCCAACAAATCCATCCTCCACAGGAGGCTTGAGGCGTCCGTCATTGCGAAAGGGGCGGGGGGAGGGAGCAGAAGCGCCCCGTCCAGCGTACCACCCTCCTGCGACATTCATTGCCCAAATCGGTGATTGAGGGGGGGGGGGAGGAGGGGGTGCACAGCACGTTGCGGTGAAGTTGGTTGTTGTGCAGGGGCGAGCAACGGAAGCGCTTCGTAAGGATGCAGACGCCTCCGTGCGTGTACAGCAGACTCTGGCCAAGGAAAAAAGGTAGACTGCGGGCAAAGAAAAAGAAGAAAACTGAATAGTGTACCCGTAACCTATGCACAGTTCCTGGCAATGTACAGACCGCGGCGGAACAGAGTAGAGCTAGATAACCATCGATGTGCCCAGGTACTTGTACTGCCTTGTCGAGAAAAATCTTGGAGCACCAACTTCGCGGCAAACGCATTGATCCCCATGCATGAATGCGCTCCTCTCCTCTCCTATGAAGTACCGTACCGGGTAAGCGTTTGGCTATATCATACTTGACTTGCCTCGAGTTTTTCGCGAAAGTTATAATGACCTCTCCCCCACATCAACAGGGTGGTCCGCGAAATTCGACAGGCACGTGTAGGGAACCAATACTCGCGTCTTTTCTTTAACCCCTAGGTTGCTCACGCAGACCATACTGCTGTACGCTTTTGCGACTTACTCTAGGGGGTGCCAGAAGCGTATCGAATACCCTCGTCGCTCGCGCTTCCTGGCCCCTCTCCAACGAGAACAGCCCCAGGTGCCAGGCCATGTGCCGCTGCAGCGGCCCCTCCGTGTCCTCCCACTTGTCCCTGCACTCCGTTAGGAACGAGCAGCCCTCGCTCGCCCTGGCCTGGTGTGGTAGCGCGGAGGGAGGTTGTTGTTGTGGCTGTGGTTGTTGCCGTTGGTACCCTCGTTTTTTGTGGGTTTTGTCGCTGATGTTATTGTTGTTGTTGTTGTTGTTGACCGTCAGCTGTTGTGGTTGTGGTTGTCGTTGTTGTTCGTTTGATTCTAGCTGCTGTTGGCATTGGTACCCTTGGTTTGTGCTCGTTGTTGTTCTCGTCAAATCATGGTTGGACTCCTCACGATGGTATTGCTGCCGGCGTTGCCCGGAAGGGAATAAAACAACACACTCTGTAACACCTCCATTTCGAAAACGTGCGCCATGGCGTGCACCGCCCAGATGTCCGTCCCCTGAATGGCCAGGGCCATGTCCGCCCGCTCCTCCGCCAACGCGTAGGCCCCGTTCTCCACTAGCCCGAAAGCGTGCATGCCCAGCACGTTTCCGTAGCCGAAAGTCGCTGGCGGCGACAGGAGGGATAGACAAACAGACGTTCACAGACCGGTAGGAGCGGGGGGAGCAGTAAGAGTAGTGGCGGTGTTAGAAGGGCCGTGTGAATCGAGGCAGCTAATGTAGGCGGCACGTCGTTGCATCTTGCGCTCTTGTGTATAGCTCGGACAGCATGGGGCACCGCACTTCGATGCAAGCACAAGCGCATGTTTGTGTGCGGCAACTTCGTCAGAGGCCGAAGAGCGAGAAGCTTGACCGAACATCATATTTCGTGTACGAGCGACAGACATGCGGAAGGCAAGACGACCCTCACGCAGCACGTCCATCATACCCATACCCATCACGCACGTAACCCCCCCAGTAGAGCAGAACTCTGCCGAGCATCCCCAATCACCGCAAGTCTAAGTGAGAATAGTGGCAGTGTTCGAAGGGCGATGTTAGTTGAGATAGGCCATGCAGGCGGCCCGTCGTTGTATTTTGCGCTCTGGATATAGCTTAGACTACACGGGGTACTACACTTTCAATATAACACAATACAACTACAAGCGCAACACCGTCTCGCGGCAGAAGCGCGAACAACGCCCCCCGAGTCCAGCTGGAGGAGAACGAGAGCCTACATTCAGACCAGAAGGGGAGCACCCTTCCGACGCAGTCTCTCATGTTGGCGCTATCGCCCAGGGTGAGGTGAGCGTCCTGCGACAGCTTTAGCGCCGGCAGGTCCACCGGCGCCGACATGAGCCACGTCTCCAGGTACAACGCCCCCTGAAGGGAAGCCACATGATACATGGTACACGGTTAAGGACCCATGAGTCAACGCTGCAACAGCCGTTTTCTCCATCTGGGATGGAAAAATATCGGACAGGGCGTGAGACAACATGGATCAGAGGGGGGCGAATGCTGGTCGTGTTTTTCTCCCTTTGACGTTGAGAACAATGACGCTGCCAGGGGGTGCTAAGAACTCAGAATGACGCCAACAATTTCTAACGGAAGGGGGGTGAGGGTTGTACCGTCGCTGCAGCAGTGGATGGTGATGACGACACGGGAGGTGGAGATATTATCGTCAGTCAAAGGCTAGCCCTGCATCCCGTATGGGCGGAGGCACCATTGGTTTTCGAAGAGGGTCGCTAAGCTACGCGCGCACACATGTACAGGTAAACACACCCACACCCGCGCCCACGACAACAACATAAAACGCCGGGCCTCTTCGTGGCATGAGTGAGAAAAGGCCCAAAGCGTAGCCGCCAACACTCCGGCATTTTTTCGTCCACGCCCATCGTCTCGCAAACACCTTTCAGACGCCCACCCCTCTTGAGTACGTCGCCCGCTGGCAAATTGGTCTATGACAGTACATGCAGTTGCCGACATGCGCGCGAGCACACACGCACTGGCGTCATCCGTCAGTCGGTTAGCGCGGTTGACACTTATTAAAAGAAACCCATACCACCTTCACACATTTTGGTTTTGAGCCATAGTGAGAATGACGGCTCTGCGTCGGCGAGCCGGTTTGGGCAGTGATGTTAGCGAAAGAATATACACACCCACTTTTCTACTCGAAGGGTCCTGTGGATTTGCAAGCGTTCTCGAGTTTATTCTGTCCCGTCGACACTGCCGCCGTTCTGCTGTACTGTTGTACGTCTTTCCATTGGTCCGCCGAATGTATCGTTTGGTGCCGACTTAAAACGCACCGGGTCCAATGATAGAAGCATTCTCTGCTTCCAACCGCACTGAGACTGACGTATTTCAATTGGTCAGCCGTATCCCCGCGGTTGATGCAAAAAAAAACAAGACAAACACACATAAAAACCAAATTGATACCTACCTCGCGCCAGCGTCCGCCGCACCATGCCCTCAGAGTAGCGGCGAACACCCGTTCTCTCTCCCCCTCCTTGGCACGGGCGGCATCGTCACCGTCACCAACGTCAATCCCCTGAAGCTGCAGCCCCCTTTCCGCGGCAGCGAGGCACCCGGCAACGGCGGCGGGATCTGATTGACTGAGGGCGGCGAGCAGCCCGCGGAAGCAGTGCGCCATGACGCAAGAGGAGTCGTGCTCGAGGGCCTCCTGGGTCCGCAGGAACGGGTCTCCGCTGAGATTGGCGTACTTTATTTTTGGGGGAGGCGGGGTAACGGGAGGGGATATGTTGTTGTAATAAATTGTCGTTCCCAATAACAACCGTTCCGATCTCTCTGCCCAGTGCCTTCTTCAGTCCGTACCGATCTACTGGGTGGTACTCGTACGCACGAAAACGCATGGGGTTGGTCGTTGGACTTGTGACCTTTGGGGGGCGGCTTTCAATTGTTTGGGTCTCTGTCGTTGAATCATTTTCCACGCAAAACCTTTCGAAACGGGCTAAACCTATACCACACAAGATACTACCACACCCCGGAGCGACTTTCAAAGCTTGACTTCTTCGCAGCCAAGAGAGCGCTGCAGACTGCCCAGACAGATGGCATTGCAGAGGTATGCATAGAATGTCATCGATGACGCTCTACAACGTCGAGTCTTCTTTCGGGACTCCTGTCAACCTCACCCATTGGTGCGGAGAAGTCGGACCACCGAAACGGGCGAGGAGTGTTCTTAGGTGTGTACGTCTGGTCGCATGAAGGAGTGTGTGAGTACAACACAAAGAGACACCAGTAGTCTGTCTACAGGTACATGCACTGCTGTACAGCAACCTGGTGTTTGTGGCTTGTCTGGTTGTCTGGCTGTCTGGCTATCTCTCTCTCTCTCTCTCTCTGGACCTCTCTCCCACACAAACAAACACGCGCACAGTACCGCAGTTCAGACAAAAACAAGAGAGAAGATTGGCAAGACGGTGCGGCATCGCCAAGCTTGTGGCATACTGCTGCCGTAGGCTCTTAGCACACCGACGTTGCGGCGTTGCTTACTAACCGCTAACCGCTGCTGCTGTGCGCGGCGCAGCAAAGCTCAGAAAGTCACGCACTTCAAGTCTAAATACCACACCCGCTACCATCGGTGTGCCTACTTATCCATCTCTCACTACACCATTCACCTCCGTATACGCGTCGTCGAGGCTCTTGATGGCTTGCCAGCTGGTGGTGACTACGGGCAGGCCGCACACATCGGGCAAGGTAGAGGCGAGCCTACTCGCAGAGCGGGGAGCGGCTTGACAGCCTCTGGTGCTGTTGCTGCTGCCGAGAACAGATCTCCTGACGGAGACAGCGCGCAATGCACCAGGCGCAGAGAATCGACGCCTAGCAACGCCGGAGAAGAGCATCGCGTGGTGGCGCACGCGCAAGGTGCAAGGTGCGGGTAGACGGGTGCGGCGCACAGGTGGGTAGACAGGTGCGGCGCAACCACGGCCAAAACGCGTCGCTGATTGGTTGGTTTCTTCCGGTGTCGACGGTGCAAAACGTCCAAACGTGTTCATTCAGTCTTTCTGTGCGTTTTCTCCTTAAACTGTGCATTGTGTTCATGCCCTCTTCCCAAACTTGGTGGTAGGGTTGGGATAGGGTCTATGTGAGAACTTGTCTGATCTGCACATGCGCACAGCATGGAGGATAGAACGTAGTGGGGGGTAGTCTGGTTGGTTTTCGAATGCAACGGATAAGTCTGCAGTATATCAGGTGTCACGGGTGTGTTTTTTTTATTATTAGCATCGACCGCGCTTTTGCGCTTTTTTGTGTTTTCGTCCTACTGAAGTATTTATGATGGCGACAGTCCCCCCATTTTTCGTGGTGAGACGTGTACAAGTAACTACACTTTTCAGCGTATGTAGAGTACGACACTTTTCAGTGTATTTTTTCGTACAACTACAACCATCCAGGGTCAAACAGGAGGGGTAAACACGAGGGCTTTTTTCTTCTTTTTATTTATTTTCATGCCCCACCTTCTTCCTCCTGCGGTGCGTGCGTGCTGAATTTTGTTATTTTTATCGCGAGAAGGGTCCAGCCGTCCCTTTCTTTCCCTCGTCAACCGTGCTAACGTCGAAGTTTGGTACTCACGAGAGCTTGTCAGCTATATTTCGCTTTCACCCGCACATTTCGTACATTTTTCACCCCATGGGGATTCGAACTCACGACCTCTGCGACTAGCGGATTACGAGGATACCACTAGATAGACCACCGACCGAGGCGACCGTGTGTGGTCCCCGATGGATCCGATCTTAGAGCCCGCACATCATCGCGGTAACAAGTGTAAGTAAGTGCTCTACTAATAGTGATCACAAACTGCTATACACTTCAGGGTCAAACAACAAAACTTCCTTGTTGTAGTCCATACTTTAAGGGCAAGTGTCTTAAGGAGCAGTGGGGGGCGGGGGGTGAGGAGGGCTAGCTCCGGTAAATGGGGATATATTGTCGTGATATCAAAGGGAAAATTAATGATGTCCCTTCATCATCGGCTGCTGGAAGATTCATTTACCAATACATGCTAGCCGCGACCAGCGTTGTCCCTACTGTAGTTCCATGTTTTCACTTATCAAATGCACAAACGAACATTAGTACTTCAGTCACAGGTGCAACAACAATAGATAGATCCCCACACGCTCAATCAAGAAAAAAAGTAATTGCAAATCGGTCAACATTGGTTATTATTTGGACGTAGATATGTAGTATGTATTGCCCCCGCCTAGGAGGTGTGTTCATTGGTCGCTCACCTTGACCGCGAGGTCAATGCCAATAAATTACGACATGCACACTCAGTATCAAATCTATGTAAGTTTGCAACTAACTGCTATTTTTTTTGCGTGCGTCACAACCACACCTGTCTTCGCAGGTGGAAGCCCTGTGTCCACTACAAGTAGTAACTGTCCAGGGTACTCTCACCACTCCTTGTTGAGCAAGCTCGGTGTCTTGTCATGTTCGATGCCTGTCACAACAAACACCTTTGTTTCGGTGGCGCACGCACATCAAATCGACTGTGTTGGCGGGATCCGCGTAATCAACGTGTCTGTGGTAGCGGCGAACTCTGCTACTTCAAGTCAACATGCGACCTCAGACAAAGAAAGGGCTAGTCTAAAGGGGCCACCTCTCTCTCCTGCACACCGATCAGGTCTTTCTCCAATTCGAGCGGCTTATCGGCTGTCTCGAACGAATAAAGAAACACTACAAAGAGCAGTCGGTCACCTATTATATGACCGGGGGTGCATTGGCGGAAGATGTGCACCGGTGACTTAAGATGCACACGCTGGCCTGTAGGCAAGGCGTTCGGTTGGCACTGCTCTACACTGATGAGTGAGAATCATCACCATGGCAAAGTTACCACACGCTGCACAACAGGTTGTGGCGCATATGTATGTCATATTTTCATTCCACATGGATGGATCATAATATCACTAAATGGCAGATCAATGTCCTCGCGAGGTGAAAACGTCCCAAGCGCGAGGGGGTTGGCTCACTACTGCTGCTACTGTACATCCCCATGGGACACGCGCCTGTGGTCTTCGTCAGCCTTCCACAATTCGCACCGCAAGCTAGATGTACCCCAGCCGAAAACCGGATGCAAGCAGACAGTCCTGGAAAGGACCACTACCACTACATTTCATAAATATCAAAAGAAAAACCGACTAGTGGAGGGCGAAAAAGAGTGCGAATACGGTACGTACTTTACGTACTTGTACAACCGAAGGAAGAGAAGGGCGAGACAAACGGCCGGACGCTCTTCCCCACGCCAGGAAAGGAAAACAAAAACAGAACAGAAAACTAAAAAACAACGCCGTGTACAAGATTGAAAAAAAATCACGAAAATAAGAAAAAAGGTCGGAATGCTCAACAGAGATCGCCCGAAACTTGGCCAACGTCGTAGTGGGCCTCAGACAACCTGCTTTTCCGCACTTGTTCTCCGACGCTACCGAACATGCCCCCGTTGTTTCGATGAGCACCGCCCTCTACCTGAAACAAATCACCGACTCAGCTACTCGCCACCGCCAATTTCGGGGTTACGAGAGAAAACCAGCAGTGGGCGAAGGATGAGGGACACATGAGAAGTATGAGCACGCCCGCCAGCAACAACCAACAGCTACAAACACCCTTGTCGACGCGGGACGAGCAATAAATGACGTGTCCCCCCTCTGCCTACATGCCTACATGATCTGCAACCCCATGTGTGCTTACCTTTAAAGAGAGCAGCCCAATGCGAGGGGCCCTACATCAATCGCATGCGTTCGTGATTTCCATTCCCCGAAACATCTTCAAAACATCAAGCAAATACAACCTAGAAGTAGAAAACGCCTCGCAACACGAACCCCCCGTGTCATTGACAACCAACGGCATCTCTGACCGAACTTCTCTCACCACCATTCCGCAGATAGATCTCTCACATCGAGCCCCCACCCCAACGTCAAGATCCAACTACAGCAACACCTGCATATGATAGATCACATGCGAACGACATTGCCCGTGCCAGCTAGTCAACCCCCCCCCGCCAATGCACCATTTCTGATGGACGTTCTCTCTCAAGCACTCTTGACCCCGCTACTTCCGCGGGTGACACGTCAAGGCGAGACAGAATCAGCATCACCGGTGCTGAATAAACTACTCGGCTAGCGCACCCGTAAAAAGATCATGTACAACAGGCCCGTGATTTTCAGAAAATTTACAACACGGAACAGCCGGCAGGGTCAACACTCCAACCTGCCGCTCCCCACACCCCGTCAGCCAACCCCTGGAAAATCGCCTTGTTAACTTTTCCTTAACATGCAGTAATGTAACCGTCGGACACGCCTGCTACAGTACGAAAAACTCCTCCAAGGACGGCCACAACAACGACCGAACGACGTGGTCGACCTCGGAGCGCTCGATGTCGCCCCGCCCCCCCTCCCCACGCCAAATTTTCCGATTCGAGGCACCCCCGACCGAACGCCTCTGCTGCTGCTGCGGCCTTCCTCTCTAGGACTCCCACCTCGCCGTACTAGACGGTATCCATCTATCAGCATCTACAGCAGCAAATACGTCACCATCATTACCATCACCATCATGGCTTACTCGTTGTTCGGCGCATGTCTTTGACGGTGCTGTCCGAGGACGCTCGTCTCACCGACCCCTGATTTCCCTTGTTTCCTCTCGCCACGTTGCGCAGCTTCTCCATCTTCGACTTCCTCCCGCCGGTGCTCTGCAGCACAGCACAAACAGAAGTAGCCAGACACACCCAGTGGGACACGCATATAAAGCAGAATGCCACACGTCAACAAACCGTAAACGGACGTGTATGTTGACCAACAGGCGGAGGAATCTCCAGGTTTCACAAAAAAAAAAAAATGGTGCTTTGCGACATTGGTCTGACGCATTCAGGCAACTTCGCTCCAGTCTCCAGTCAAGAGTTTTCGGATTTTCGCATCAACGAAGCGCACACCGTCCAACAGCTTTCCAACGAACAGCCCGCGCCCAATAAAAAACACAAGTGCCCAACCGAACGGGTACCGTTGCGGTGCGGCGGTTCGCACTTAACTCGACGGTGGCCGACCCGGCGATGAGCAAAAACGACAAAACATGAATAGCCTTCTACGTCGACGATAAAAACCGACAGACCCGGCGATACAAGGCCAACAATGCCGACGGAGGTTGGTAGGCGGCAAGCAACCAACAGAACGGACGATATAAGGCCGACGTCTACGGCGACGGGTATGTGGCAAGCAAAATTGAGAGACCGGAATTGATACGAACAAGTGGGAAGTAAGGACATAAGGCCAGCGCCGGGCGGACCGGTGCTGTCCGTGGCGGTGGCGTAACTGACCTGGTGTGACGACAAGAACGAGGAAATCTTGAACTTGGGCTTGTAATGGGGATCTACGGAGATCTCGTCGAGGTCGGGCCTCGCTCCGGTAGTCGTCCAGAGGCGAGACCGTCTGTTGGGAAGGCGCAAGCTCTTTCTCTTCTCCTCCGTAAAGCTCCGCCTGTTCTCTTCCTCGGCGCAGACCTGAATCATTGTCGACGGTTTCAAACGAAAGGTTCCAGAAGTACGACAAGAAATAAAACAGACGGCACTCTTGTACACCGCTGGACTTCGTCAGGCATGGTACAATTTGAACGGCAGGATAGCGAAAAGAACATAAATGTAACGACTTAAACAAGCTCAGACAAGCTGTTGCAGCATGAAACACATCAGAAAACAACGTGACAGCAGTATGCCTTCAGGCTTCAAACCTCAAATCTTGCTTAAATGTACGCTCATTTTTTCGAACTAGCCTTTGTCCGTTGGCGCTAACGTTGACGACTACGTGGTGCCTGCACGCTATTACAGGAGCGCACCGGCATGTCATCCGTATCCCGCTCCATAGTTGGCGAGAGAAAATTAACATATACAGCGCGACAAACCAATAGAAAACACTGCTGCCGTTCTTGCGTGTTTAATGTATCACGGCGAACCTTCAGTCCGCTCAGCACACTCACTCAAATTAGGAACAAACGGCAAGACAAATTGACATAGTACATCATTCTCACCACAGACGAAGGGCCCGAGATTCATCCGGCTGGCCGTGACCCGTCAACGACACAGGGCTACATCTGAAATCAAGCTGCAAGCAACAGCCCCAAGCCATACATTTGTACATGCTCATGGTCATGCTCACAGCCTCTCCTCCGAAACCCTTCCTGCCAAACCATGCCCATACAAAAGGAATAACACACCCGACGTTGGCGCACCAATAGCTACGCACCAACTCCCCACCGCACAACCATGCCAAGACGACAACACCTGACTTTCGCCCCCCCCCCCCCCCCCCCCCCCCCACCGGGTTTTCGTCGCTTGGCAACGACGTTGTAAAACAAGCCAATTCACGTCGTGAACTCGGCAACCAGGTTACCGTTTTTTTTTTTTACCTCCGTTTTTTTTTTTGGCGGTAACCACAATGGTGGTCGAGTAGATCATGTTGTGCGGGGTGGAGAACCCTCGCTCCGCGCAAGGGGGATGATCGCATCACGTTGTGTAAAAATGGTCAAGCACCCTCGAGGCAGTTACACAGTGCGTACAACTGTCTCTGGAAGTGAAAGCACCAGAAAGTAAATTAATTCATACGCAGCTGTCATCCGTACGCAAGGAAGTAAGCACAAGATGCCGAACACCCTTAGCAGGATGCAGCGCACCCTTCATGCGACTCGCCGAATATCTCACGGCGCTTCGCGCTTGGTGATGTGAGAGCCTGGTCCGGTGAGAACCCGGCGTGCTCCGTCCCGGCTTTGTAGGGATGCGAGGTCAATGGTCTAACGACTACGGCATGCACGACTATGAGTACACCCCCCCGCCCCTCCCCAGTGTCGCACACGCACCTTCAGGATGCCCGCGACTTCTCTGAAGCTGAGGCGCTCGTCGAGGTTGGTTCGCCAGCAGCTCTCCAGCAGATGTCTCACGGGCTGCGGCCACTCCGGGTTCAGGGGAGGCCTCTCCCCCTCGTCGACCACACGGCTGTAGAAATCCGGCCGTTTCAACCCTGTTTTTTTTTAATATATTATGGTGGTGGATGTTTTCGTTGGTGGCGTTTGACGAGGCGAGATGAGGCGCCGGGCACCTGGGGGACAGGCGACTCAAAGTGGTGCCATGCTTTGCATGAGCCAACTATTTAGGGCGAGAAGCACACAGGAAGCTGAACCAAAATGCCTGCTGCTGCTGCTGCTGCTGCTGCTGCTGCTGCTGCTGCTGCTGCCACGTCTGCTGTGTGAAACGCACGCAATCAGCCTGGTCGATATGGTGGCGCCCTGTGCAGTGGCGTGTTCGTTGTGAATGCGTGATCTGTGAGAGAGGTCAATCCTCTCTTCACACACCGGTCGCCCCGGTGGTCTAGTGGGTAGCCTCGCGGCCTGCCGAGGGCCAGGTCATGGGTTCGAGTCCCGGCAGACAAAGTTTTTTTCTCACTAAACAAATCCTGGTCTAGGATGAAAGCGACGCGCTGCAAAGCTCGTTTGTTAGTAAACCATAATCGACTTCGTAAGTCGCGAGGGAAGGGATTGCTGTACCCTTCTCGCGATAAAAATACCTCAGGCATGAACCGCAGGAGGGGGTGCAACCCCCCCCTCCTATGTGACCCCGGTTGGGTCGTCTAGCTAGTAGAAGTGGAGGATAGGGGCCAGAGGAGCAGACGACAGAGTCCAATGATGGGAGAAAAACAAACAAACAAACAACAAACACCCCTTGCGCCTTGTCCCTCTCTTTAACCATTTCTCGCACCTTTGATGCCGTTGCTTTCCCAGGCCATCCCTCTCCTCTCTCCTCACCCAACCCCCGGCCCCTTATCCCATAACATATGCTTCCATTCCTTTTGTCCCGTGCCACTCTGTATGCCCAGCTTTGACGCTCACATACCTCCATCTTCGCTTGGTCCTAATCATATCTACACCGCACCTAAATCTCGCCTTTATCTCATCTCGTCGTAACTCCTCCAATTAGGTCATACATACCTCGTCCCAACTGCAGATATTGCTTGCATCACCTATCCATGCGGGTGTAAGATCTGCAAAAACTTACCCAGGAAAGGCTTGGTCCCAGCGAGCATCTCCCACATAATGAGGCTGAAGCTGTAGACGTCGCCTTTCTCGTTATACTCTTGGTGGTTGGCGATCTCGGGTGCCATGTACCTCAGGCTCCCGGTGCCGCCGGTCATATGGTACTTCTCCGCCCTCACGCGGAACTTGCGCTTGATGATCTGAACCCCCGTCGCGTCGCGGACAACACAACGAACAACCGGGTAGCGCAGCGGTCACGGCTCCGTGCCAAAGAACACAACCCCTTGTCCAATGCCTTGGCTGCTCCTAAATTGTCGTGAATCCTAGGGGTAGGTTTCACTGAAGTACTGACGGACATCCTCATCAAATGCCTTGGCTTCTCCTTATTGAAGCCACCCACTTGGGTAAACCCCCTTATCCATGCCTCGGCTTCTCCTCATGTCGCCACGAATAGGGTATGTGCAAACAGGGTGGGCCACTGGCGGAAAACCTCATCCAATGCCGTGGCTTCTTAATATCCCCACCCCAAGGACACAAGAGGGCCTGGTCCGGTGAGAACCCGGCGTGCTCCGTCCCGGCGTTGTAGGGATGCGAGGTCAATGGTCTAATGACTACGGCATGCACGACTATGAGTACACCCAAGGACACAAGATGGTACAGCAGGCCAATGTGAAATGTCGGTAAACGCACGGTTACACGTTTTACATTTAGACAGGTACAACAAAAAAGTTGTGTAGTTACCTTTCCCAGTCCGAAGTCAATGAGCTTCAACGTGCCGTCTTGCGCGAAACCGATGTTGTCCGGCTTGAGGTCTCGGTGACACACGATGCGTCCAGGCACCGCCACATCGTGGAGGTACTCCAAAGCGTTACACAACGCCAGCGACAGGTCGAGCACCTGTTGTATTATCATCATTGTTATCGTTGTTTATTATCATTATTGTTGTTGTGCTCAGATTTGGTTTTGTTGCGCCTCAACGAATACGAAGCACATGCGAGGTGGGGACGGAGGTTTAGACAAGACACCGGACGACTGTATGTGCCGACCCCCTCCAGCAATGCCAAGACATTTCTTTGCGAAGTTTGAGAGATTCACCAAGAGCTGGTAGCCATCGCGCGTCGAGTTGCCTTGATCCTCTTAAGTCGGCTATCCCCGAGCAGCGCCAGCGAGAGGATGCCGAAAAGGGTGTACCACCACATGTGCCAACAAGCAATCGCTCCATAGAGTGGGCATTCAAAGCCGCTTTCGATACGGTGAGTACTCGCCACAGCACTTTTGATGCGGAGAGGCACATGGGGCCTGTCTTGCCCCAGAATGGTTGCGCGGAAACGGGACCGAACAGACTAGACCACACCCAGACAGTGTGGCGTTGGTCTGGCTAACGGGAAAGAGATGAAGCCCACCGGGACCGTGGGAGTTTGTGGAGGTGTGCTGCTGTTGCTAACACACACGCGCTCACACCCAGAAGCAGCATCTGTTGAAAGAAAAGAAAGAGAATACAAGGGTGCAATAACCGCCGTGTACGTTGGCAAGTGCTCACCAAACCACCAGTAACCCCAAAACAAGGCGAAAAAGTAACACATCCCGGACTGGTGTGCACACATATCTATATACCTAGAGAAAAGACCAAGTAAAAAAACCGCTGTAGTGCTTGCTGTACAGCACAGCAGTGTTTGTGAAACAAAGGAGACGAACAGACATATCGTGCACGCGCAGCTCCGAGGCGAGAGATGCCCATGACATCCCATGCGATCCCATGCCACCCCATCCCAAAACCACGACTGGACGCACCTTGGAAATTCTCATGGGTTTCTCCCTGTGCTCTCTCAACAGAGAGCTCAAAGTCCCTCCGCTCAAGTACTCCTGCCAAGCCGGTGTTTCGAGCCAAGAGCCAATGACCGCCGAACCCACCAGTGCGCAGGGAGCAGCAGACACATGCATCATGCGGGGCGTTCAGCGCGAAGCAGGTCCAGCGAATGATATACCAAGCAGTGCGTGCGGCGCTCGGACACTCCAACACGAACGTCACGTGTTCTACATGACGCAGACTTCCTTCACCCTTCACGACCCGAGGCCAGACGGGCTACAACCCCAATACCGCCGCCCATTCCTTCGTGTCGCAAATCAGATGGTACATACACTTCGCCGGCGGCCGGCGAGAAACCTCCCCCCTTACCCGTGCAATATTTTCAGGCGCGGTTGGCTTGAACGTGTACCGGCGATGCACCGGTGGTCCGCCGCCGCGTACAAGCATATGTGGGCCCTCTTTGAAATACGGATCCCCCAAACATAAGACAATGAGGGAAACGACCTGCGAGAGATCGAAACTCATGCCTCCAGGAAAGCACGAGGTTAGCAACAGCAAGGGAGGCTAAGACGCCGACACTCACCAGGGCAACGAAGCGCCGGCCATCTGGCAGGAAGCCCGCTCCCAGCAGGCTCACGATGTTGTCGTGATGGAGCTCCTTGAGCAGGAGCATTTCCACCTAATAGGGAACAACCAACGACGAACAAAATAGTAGCAGCAAGGGCAACGTTTACTACCGCATGGACAAAATCTGAGACACAGAAAATCAACAACAGCAGCATCAACTCCAACTCCACCACCAGCAACAACATCAATTACAACACGAGCAACAACATCAACCGCAAGCAGTACCAACAACAGCAACAGCGACAAAAACCGCACCCCACGCATCGTACCTCTAAATCGTTGGCGGCAACCGCCGCGTGGCTAGTGTCCGGCAGCGGGGTTTTGAGCACCACCTTCTGCCCGTTCAGCAGGGCTGTATACGCCACGCACATTGCTCCCTAACACCCAGGGGGGTAGGGGGGGGGGGG